AGCTGTGCACGCTACCTCAGATCCGCCGTCCGAGTGAAGAGAGCCAGTCATACGACTACTTCGTCACGTGTGTCTCCACCGGTTGTGAGGGTACTTTTTGGCCGCTTTCTCCCGCTCCAGGTGAAGGGGCCACCGGCCACGGACTTGCATCAGGGTTTGGTGGAGGCGGCAGTGGGAGCTGCCCAGTGCTGAGGCCGGAGTCCAACTCGTCGCTCCAAGAGGTGCCTGGTATGGATGGTCATCCGGGGGTGATTGTCGCCCACTCCTGCAAGAGACAGGGGGCCTACGCGCTCGTGCTGCAGCGCTGTGACCAGGCGTGGACTCTCCGCGGGCTGCGGCCACGGGGCGTGACAAATTGCGAAGGTCCGCCCTTCCAAGTATCTGCCGGCTTAGAGCAGCTGGGCGTTGGAGTACCATACTTTAGTACTCTTTTGGGGGGCGGACTTGTTCCCCAAGCCCTAGACCTTAAACCCTCAAACCCTCAAACCCTAACCCTAAACCCTCAAACCCTAAACCCTAACCCTAAACCCCTAAACCCTCAACCCTCAAACCCTCAAACCCTCAAACCCTCAAACCCTCAAACCCTAAACCCTAACCCTAAACCCTCAACCCTCAAACCCTCAAACCCTAAACCCTAACCCTAAACCCCTAAACCCTACACCATGACTTCAAAGTCCAGGCAGCGGCTGAAGTCACTCTGGCCTTCCTGTGACAACTCGGAGCCCAAGGAGCTTTGGGCTCGGGAGTGGCAGAAGCACGGTACCTGCTTCGGAAGCGATCCTTAGTATCATTATAAAATATAACCATAGTTCTTATTCTTAGTACTGTTTTTTATATAAAGATCCTTAGTATCATTATGATCACGGTTATTATTATTGCTGCTGTTATTATGGTTGTTATTATGCGTATTACTGTTATTATGCCTGTTCATGTTATTCTTATTGCTGTTAGTATCGTTATTATAATCAAGTCGAGGTTTGTTTTGATTTTTTGAGGAGTTTAGTAGGCCGGACAGAGAAGAGCCAATTCGGCTTAGAACCCTATTGTAACCGTTTCAGTAACCCTGTAGAAACCCTGCAGCACCCGTTTCCTAAATCGATGAACTCCGCAAGCAAACTCTTGAAAACCCGCTTTAGCAGCCCTCAGAATACCCTATCAAGCCCTAAACCTACAAGCCCGACAACCTGAACCCTAAACCAAAGCCCCTTCCTCAACCCTTCAGGGAACCCTAAAAGTGCCCGTGCATGAACCTTTGAAAATTAAAGAAACCAGGAACCCTTGAAGGAACCCTCCTAAGGATCCGGAGCACTACTTCGACTGGGCGCTGGAACTTCTCCTCGCGCACGCCGGGATGTGCGCGGAGTGGTTGTCACCGGAGTGCCTGGGATTAGGGTTCGGGGTTCGGCGTTCAGGGTTTAGCGTATAGTAATAGGGGTTGTGCGCAGTTTTATCAGTTTTCATGAGGGTTTTGCAGTGTTCTGAAATATACTAAGGGGCTTGGAAAAATTGGCAGTAGTGCGTGCTCCTTGCTATGACTATACTATGCTTGATTAGAGTACACCCCGAAGCTCTAGTCCAACCATTGGAGGGCAGGGTTGAGGTTCACCCCGGGTCTAGGCTCTTGGGGTTAAGGTTTGGTGTTGAGCGGTGTGGGGAACTACCCTAAACTGTAAACAATCAGGTATTCAGAAATCAGGAATTCCGAGTTTAGGGATTCGTTGTGGAAGCTGCTGTTTCAGATTGATAGAAACTTGAGAGTCTTGGTTATCCACGCGTCACATGCCTCGCTACGCTTTACTAAAGTCTTCAATGTTCTTTTCCTTGGGGTAGCGGGGAAGCAAGACTTCGAGCAATGTGTGGAACCTTATCGTTTGGAATGCGGGTTGTGGGGCGTGACAGTCATTCTATTGGGACTTATATAGGATCCTTCTTATTCGGAATGCATCTTGAAAATACATGATAAGGTCGTTCTATTGGGACTAATTAATATAGCAATGCGCTTTGGGGTGCATGATCAAGTCATTCTATTGGGACTAGAAGGAGCCAGTATTGCTAATAGGTCCAAAACCCTTATTGAACCCGCAAACAGCGCTAAAACCACCCTACACGAGCAAAACGCTCCTATCTATCTATCGACCTATCTAATCTAATCTCGACTTTTCTAACCGAGTCTAATCTAACCTAATCTAAGCTAATCTAATCTCATCTGTCTATCTGCATAGTCACAACATGCCACACAATATATTTCGTTACAATCTATTATACATTATGTGTATGTATGTATAGAGCCTTTTGAGTTCATATTTTGCGCATGTATACATATATATATATATATATACACACACATAGAATATGTATTAAGGTTTTTCTTATTTGATATATGCCATATTCCATATGATCTTTTGTTATGCGATTTGTTATATGTCGTATGTTTACATACATATATATAGAGAGAGAGAGAGAGGTCGAAGCTGGTTCTCCTGGTTGTTGAAGGTGCGAGATTTGCCTCACCGAGAACTTGGAGCGCTGCGACCTCGGGCCACCACAGAGCCAGAGCCCGTGAGCTCGAGAGCGCCCGGAAGATGGATTTCTCCAGGGTTGCTTCAAGAAGGGCTTTCTTTATGGGTGACTGGAAGGCCTTCGTGAATGAAGGGTTGCTACAAGGGTTCTATGTTTTCGTAGGCCCGGCACCTGAAAAGGAAGCCTTACAAGAACTTTTAGAGCTTCTGTCTCTCAAGATTAAATCTTTGAGCGCTGAGAGCAGTTTAATGTCTAACTCCTGCCACAGCCGTCATCGGGTCTCGAATGAGACTCCGAAGGTAGCCAGATCTCCCTGGAAGGTCAGTTGCCTTTACATGGGGTGCTTGTTCCTTGAACCCTACTAGAAACCGTACCATACCCAGAAATCAGTAACCTACTGAAACCCTAAACCCTTTACTGTAGAGGCAACCGGGCTTCTAGGCTTTGGCCAAAGTGCAAAGCCAGGGCCCCATCCGAAGCCTCCAAAGCTGTTGAACTTCTTAAAAGAGTTCCTAAGCCTGAGGCTCTAAACCCTAAACCCCTAAACCTTGACTGTCGAAACCCCCATGAACCCTAAGCCTAAACCCTAAACAGGAAAAAGGTAGCACCGCACTTTAAAAAAAGACAGCTGCGCAGCCCCGAAACTGACCTTCAGCCCTAAAGCCCTCAGAACAACCCTGGAGCCTTGGGAGCTCATGTCTGTAGAACTCAAAAAGAATCTGCAGTACTTGTAAAAGTCAAGAGCTCAGGTTTGCGGTTTAGGGATTAGTTCTTATAGGATTTGGGGATAAAGAGTTCAAAGTTTAGGGTTTTGGGGTTTAGAGCTTTAGGGTTTGTGGCGTTGTCTGTGCGCCGTAGAACAGAGATATGGGTGTTTATGTCTTGTGACAAGGATTCAGGATTGTGTGTGTGTGTGTGTGTGTGTGTGTGTGTGTTTTTGTTGGTGGGGGAGGGCTGGGACCTCGCGAGACGTTGAGGCAGGAGTGCGAAAAAGCTGGCAAAGGTGCCTTCTGTCAGGATCGTACCAGCGGGAAGGCCTCTAACCAGCTCTAAGCCTCTCTCAAACTGTAACTTTCAACAAGCATCTAAGATCTCATCACGGCTCGACACCGACCGGGCTGCTAGAAACACGACTAGTTCAGGCCAAAATCTCAAGTTCCTGCTCTTCTTCGGCTTTCGTGGAGCATCGAAGGAACGTGAAGGAACCCAGTACGTAGGGCTACGAAAAAGCTGTCAACCCCTTAACACCCAAGGCTACCCCGAAACCCTAAACCTAAACTCCGAAACCCAACCACCGTTGCAAAACAACTTCTGAGTCCTGCCGAACGCAGGCACCCAAGACAGGGCTGAGGATTCGGTGACCATAAAGTCTGAATAGCTGGTACTACGGGCTTTAGAAGATTTGTTTGTAAGCAGGAGTTTTTGTAACAGTGTGGCATTACTAACTTCATTATAGTCCATGTACAAAAGCCATAGTAGACTAAAGCTTACTGTAGGGTATTGGTAACTACAAGTCATCGGGTTTCGAAGCCCTACATAAACCTCATCCTCACCGCAAACCCGAGACCCTTAAGCCGCAAAGCCCACCTTAACCCCCAAATTTTCGACTTCTGCGATCAGAACAAGGAACACTAAACAAGAATAAGGGTTTATAGGCTCGAGGAATGCCTTGAATTCTCTAACCTCATTATAAGCCCTGCAGGTTGCAACCACCAAAGCCTGGACTCATTTAGCTGACCTCGGAAGCCTCCCTGAGCCCGAACTGTTATGGGTCATAAGCCTACCAACAGGCCTAAGAGAACCCTAGGCCCTGAGAGCCTATAAGCCCTAGAAGGCCCTGACGCTAAGGTTAAACCCTGAAACACTAATCAGAGCCCCATTAGAGCCTAGCTCAGTTCGAAAAGCCCGAATCGTAGCCTGGGAGCCCCCACTTTGACCCTAAACTAAACCCTGAACGCTCTATAAGGCCCCTAAAGCCCTATATCTGTCCCTAAAGCTTTAATCTTGCTCTAAGGTTCCCTAAACCCTGAACCATACTTAGACGATCATGGGGCTTACTAACTAGAGTTATAGTTAAGGTAGCTATACTTATAATTACTCATGACCCCCCTTAAGGTACTTATAACCATACTTACCAAGTCCCATGATCTCCGAATTATAGACCCCTTATAGAAACACCAGCGACTCCCAAGTAGATGGCGGCCTTATGTGAGATGAAGCTGAATATCCCTTTCAGGAATAGAATCCGATCCTCCAAGCAAACACTCACAGTAGAAGCCAAGAAGTTGGAAACCCCATAGCCTCAATCCTTAAGTATAGGGAATCCCAGCACTATTTGGCCTTAATCCGGTTTCCAAGTTTACAGGGTGTACTGTACCCTGTCCCTTGGTATATACCCTTAATATAACTATAATATACATTATTGGGGTAGGGGTCACCATTAAGGGTCCCTCCTTTTCCCCTTTGACTCACCCTGTCAGACCGCCTTCGGCTTGGCCTTAGCCGGGAAAGTCCTGGGCCCGAACGCCCCGGCGCGCAGCGTCGCCCGGAGCCGTGTGAAGTAGCGTTTTTTAGGGCACTATAGGGTTCTATAATAGGGTTCCTTAAAGGGATTTATAAGGGTTCTATAATGCGAGGGTCATGGGACTTAGTAAGTATGGCTATAAGGACCTTAAGAGGGGTTATGAGAAATTATAAGTTTAGTTACCTGAATTATAACTCTAGTTACTGAGTCCCTGATCCTCCAAGTAGGGTTTAGGTCTTAGGGTCTAGGGCTTGCTACACTTAGGGCTCAGGTTGTAGGGTTTGGGGTTTACCTTTTGCGTTGTAGGGTCTAGGGCTTAATTAGGGCTTAGGGCTTGGGTGTATGGTTTAGGGTTTAATGGAGGGCCTTAGGGGCCTTAACAATTAGAAGAGGGTTTGGGGCCCCATTCTAATACAATTATGACAAGCACTGCGCAAAATAGTATCGGTAATTATTTGGGTCTCTATATTAGCTTCTCGTGTTTAGGGCCTAGGTTTTTCTTGAGGGCAAAAGTTGGTAGATATAGGGCTCCTTAGGAAAATGGCGAGTGTCTATTTCAGGTTTCAGTATAGGGATACTCGCACTTCCAAGCCTGTTCTTATGACGTGGGGACCTTTGAAATCTTACTTGCCTCTTCTTAGACTAGGCTGTGGATGTTTTGTTGTCTAAGTTTCCCTCATTTGGGATCTAGAGTTTAAGTTTTATTCATACCTATCTGTCGGAGTTTGCGGGTAGACCGCCAAATCAAGTAAGAAGCAGCCGCATGAGGTTGTGAGGACGCAGAGGCTGGTTCGGGATTTTGGGGTTTGGAGTTAGACTCTATACAAACCCTACTTGGAGGATCATGGGACTTAGTAAGTAAGCTTATAAGTACCTTAATTGGGGTTATAAGTAGTTACAAGTATAGTTACCCTAATTACAACCCTAGTTGTTAAGTCCCAGGATCCTTTAAGTAAACCCGTTTTGGGGGGCGTTGGGTGCATGGCTGGAGGTTTTCGGCTTGATGCCCTTTCAGGATTCTCGAGGGCTCTAGAGATGCCCAGCCAAAGCCTGTACCCTGCTAGCCCTGAATCCCGCCTTGAAGTCCCACATAGGCACTTGACGCTTTCGAAACTTAAATGCCACATAAGTATAGTATATAGTCTATCCCGAAACCTACTCTAGTTTTTGTTGCGCCGAATTTAAAGCCATGCGCCTTTGAGCCCTAATTGCCCCAGGTGCTTTACGACGGCGCTGTCGTTGACGTTGTTGCCGACCTTGATTTGAAGGGAGCTTTGGGCGGCCAGGACCATTTCGCCGATGTTAATGTATAGCTAGTAGTCAGAATCCTAATGCCAATGCTATTCCTCAAACGTTCCCATAACAAGCGTGAAAAGTTTGATGTATTATGAAAAACACCACCAGTGTTCTACTTATAAGGGGTTATGGCCGCTACATTACTGTTCAGGTTGAGGCCTGCGAGCTTCACCAGAGCACCAGCAAAATGAACCATTCTAGCTTTTGCCTCTGTCGCGCCATTCGCCAAGCGACAGCACTCTTCGGCTTCTTCTTCTTCGTTGCCGCGTGCATGTATGGTTGTGCCTCTACTCTCCTAGAAGGGCGTGTTTCCCATTTTCCAGCGCACACATATTCTAGCCCGTAACTGTGGAAAGCCACAGTCGAACTAGCAGTGTAATATCAGGAGTACCGAAAGCTAGACTAGACCATATCATCCCAAATCCCCAAAACCCCAGTCAAGGCCCCTGTCTTCTCCCCTGTCATGACATCTTGACCCCTCATGTTGCGGCCTTAATCATTACCAATACTATTCGCGGGGTTCCTTATTATGAGTATAGGAAAATGGGCCCCCACAACCTATTAGAATCATTAAGGCCCCCTATATTATAGTACCTTTATAGTTGCCCTTATAGTAACCCTTAGACTCCGTTTTTGGAACCCATTCTAATCATTAAGACTCGTGATATAGAACCTGCTAGTAGATCCCTTATGGACTCCCTTCAAGGATCCCTCTAAACGAACCCTTCTTTGAAGGAACCCTTTAAAGGGAACTCTGTTCTAATTACTAAAGCACCTATATTACTCCCCGGGTCGGTCCCGGAAGGATACCTCGGAGCCACTCCACACGCCGGCAGAGCCCGCCAAGAAGCCGGAGAAGGCACGGTTTAGGGTTGAGGGTCTACTTCGGCCCCCCAACTACCCTCTAATATACCCCAGATATAAGGGCTCCATTAAAGGGCCATCGGGGGGTCCTGGTAGGGTTCAGGGTTAGGGTTTAGGGTTGACATTCATTGAAGGCGTTTCGACTTTATGGTTTTTGGGCTGCAGGCTTTGTGGTATCAGGGCTTGGGCCAAGGGTTTATGGGGTTTGGAGGTTGGGCCAGGGCTTCAACACTCAGGCCAAAGGTCTGGCTTTGGGGCTCAAGCTCTGCATTTCTTACCCCGTGCACAGCAACCCT